CTATGGGGCTGGGGTCGGGTTTTGGGGGTCTGGGTGGCTCTGGGGGTTGGAGTGTTGGTCCTGGTTTCTGGTGGCCTTTGGGGCTCCGTCAGTTCATGGTCTGGGGGTTCTGTGGGCTTGGCGGTTTAACTGGAGGGAGAAGTATTTGGGCTGCTCTTCCTGGGTGGGTTTYGGGGAAAGGGAGGACTTACTGGGGCCAGTGGGGGAGCTGACTCCCTGTGGGAGCATTTTGCTCCTTCAGCTTATTCTCCCCATCCCTCACTTCTATCCTCTTCATTTTCAACTTCACCCATGTAGAGTTTTTTTGGGGTCACAGTTGTGTTATAAGAGCAACAATATAACATTTCTATTTGCCATAACCACCTGGGCCCCAAATTTTATTGTACATCTTAGACATTCACTCATAACATTTTCATGACATTCACATATAGGAACTTAAGGTGGGCACTCATGGCTATAGGTGGCCGGATAGCACCACTCTCGCCTCCTGTGCCTGTAACCACCCCCCAAGGTTTGCATAAAGACACTTAAGGTTTTGGGTTAGAGTAGTGGTGGAGGGGAAACTGGCACCATGCTGGCCTTTGTCTCTCCTTCTTTCCCTTTTTAATTACTCTGTAGAACAACACGCACCAACAGTACATCTGGGGGTGGGGGTTTGGGTGTCAGGGTCTTTGTTCCCATCCTGTTCCCCGACTGCCATTTGGGGAGGGGGTCCTGAAGAAGGGCGGGCCACCAGGTGCGGTCCTGGGCTGTGGGTGGGTTCGGGGCTTGGACGGTTGCCGGGGGCGGGGCTGGCTCTCCATTCTCCCTGGCGCTGCTTGGTCTCCTGAGGTGTGGCTCTTGRTTCCTGTGGGTGGCCCCCTGGCCGGGGTGGCTGCCGGGTTCCGGGGGGTGGACGGCTGGGGGGGTGTACTTGGTCGTTGGCGGTGTGGTGGGATGGTCATGGGTATGGCTTCTCTGCGGCTGGGGGCTGGCCGGGCGTCCTGATGCGGCCCAGGCCGGGCCTTGGCTGTCTGCTCCTGTGCACCTCAGAATGATTGGGTCTACCTTCTAGGTTTGGGTGTGTGCTACCTCCAATAGGGGGTGGGTGCATGTCCTGGACCTGGGGGTATAGAGTGTGCATCGGGGGTATAAGTGGAATGTGGCGTCCTTGTATGTCTTTGATTGAGTTGGGGTGAGGATGAGGGTGGGATGGTGTGATTGTGTATGTTTGG